GGCAAACTGGCCGGTCCTGGGAGGACCCCAAGGCTTTTGGAAGGGAGGATCAGGGCTTGCGTGGGAGGCAGGGTTTAATATCAGCTTGGTGAAATCCGGTGCCACGGTATCGTGGTCGGGAAGGTGAGCTGCAGTGTATCAGAAAACAGACTGGGCTTAAAAAGGACTCCAAACGACAGGAGTTCCCTCTAATTTGATAATTACTGGTGCACAGGGAGGGGTGTTTTTTTTTCCTTTTTTTCCCCTCTTTATTTGCACTCTGAGCACAAAATTCTTATATGCGAGGTCATTATTCCGTTAAGAGCTTTTTGAGCACCGCCCCAGGTGCCGGTTTTCTAAATAGTTTTCGTTAGCCAAGTAAAAAAAAAAACACCGTTACTAGAACAAAACTGTACTGTGTCTGAACCACGGTGGGAGGTTTGCACAGTGCAACAATGGGCAAACTTATTAGTATAAATCTCTGCTCAGAGATTAGTTACGTGGTTTGACGTACCACCTAAATCGTGCAGTAAAGTGTTTCACCCACCTGCCTGCAAACGGAAGTTTGAATATACACTAGGCCTTTTCTTCTGTTTCTTGCAGGAATAGGCTGTAACATATTCAGTAAAATCTCTCCCCCAAATATGTTAAACAGGAAGAGTACTACTTTGTATACATGAGGAAGTGTTTCCTTAAATATCACTCTAGAACTTTGCCAGGTGGTGGGGATTGCTATTTTTTCTTCTGATCTCTTAAAAATAGTAAACCCTATAGCTTTATCGGAGCTCTGAAATATTTCTACTTTATTACTTTATTCAAATTAAAGTGATGTAGACATGCTTTTGCTTCTTGAATTACACTTTCATTTCTTAATTATAAATGCTTTCGCTCTTCATGTTGTTAATCCCTAGCCCATAGTCAACTATTGATACCTAAATTGTTTGGCATGTATTTCATTCCTTGAAAAGAAATAAACCAACCCAGAGACAGGTTTTCTCTGAAACAGAGATGGGAGGGCATTTTAAAAACCAAGGTAGTGCATGGCTGTGCTTGCCATTTTCCCATTCTATATATTGATGATGGCTGGCTTGGATATTTGCGATTGCAGCTGCTAGTGCATTCTGGGGAAAGCAGATTCCCTCGTAGGCAGACCGCTTCCAGATGACCATGTCCGTATGTTGGTTCCTGATTAAGGCTGTTGGCCCAGAGATCGAGATGGCAGCTAAAGTTTTAGGCAATTACCTGCACTGTTGATGATCTGCTAACATGTAGCGTGTGTTGTGTGTTTTTAGAATGCTATGCTTCAGCAATGAATGTATGTTTTGTACATACATCTATACATTGTTATGTATAGCTTTGTGGTGTGGGGGTTTTTTTGGGTGGGTTTTTGTGTTTGTTTTTTAAAGAAAATGTTACTTCGTTATTTTACAATAAGGCTAGTATTTTCCTGTAGGACCTGGGGGAAGGAAATTGGTTCTTGGTTTTGAAATTCTATCCTGCATGCTGTTAAAAGCAAATATAGCAATTTAAATATAGATCCTCAAGTAGCTTCTGGGAAATGAACTTATGAATGAATTGATTTTACTTTTAGTGTTCTTACAATTCTTACTTTAAAATCATAAGGATCAATAATTAGCTTTGAAGTAAAATGCCTCAAGGCTGTGCAGCCTTTCAGGTGAAGGTCTTTGATCCAAACTAGTACTGCACAGAAGTCCAGGAACTTTTGCTGCTATTTCTTTATTGTAGAAATGTTTCCTTCACAAGTGTGATTTATAATGTAAATCCATTTCAGTTAAGCTTTTTTTATTATGTTTTGTATAGCTGAGTGCGTTGATGCTTCTGAGGCTGTATAAATAACAAATGATTATGATACTTTTTTTAGGATAGGTTTGAAAAAATACAAGAGGTTTTCTGATAGATAAGAGTGAGTTCTGGTGCTAGGTTGAAGTACAGCCAATGGCATCGCGGCTTAATATTTTTAACGGCTTTTCTCTCATCTGAGAAGAAGCGCAGATGACTGCCATGTGATATGACTAAGCTTTCCACTGAATGTTTTGAAAACAAGATGATCTATAGAAAATAGTCAAGGGAAAAACAAAAATCTGTCAATAACCTTGGGCTGTTTCTTGGTTTTTATAACTGTTAACTGAAGGAGACCATATACATTCTGTTAAAGATTGTAGTGTTGGGTGGAGTCTTGGGTTTGTCTTCTACATTTGTTTGACCTAATGGCCCAACATTATCATTTTGATAACAGGTACTATCTTGCAGCATGGTATGTGTACTGGAGATGCAGAAACCATGTAGCAGAAAGCTTTGAGCAGTTGTGGATTATCAGTTTCTCCCAACAGCAATAAGAAGTGAAGAATGAAGGCGACTGGATTTATTTCCCTATGGACGTTGGTTTCACTGCCTTGTGGCCAGTTAGCAAATCCTGCAGAACATGAAGATGTAGTAAAGCATGCAATAAAGCTGCACCGTGGGAAAGGAGCTGTTATCACTCAAAGAAAACAGTGGGTGTTGGATAGCTGCAGGAAACTATCTGGTCTTCTTCGCCAAAAGAATGTTGTTCTCAACAAACTGAAAAATGCTATAAGAGCGGTCGAAAAGGATGCAGGACTGTCAGATGAAGAGAAACTTTTTCAGGTGCATACCTTTGAAATTTTCCAAAAGGAGCTAAATGAAAGTGAAAACTCAGTCTTCCAAGCAATCCATGGCCTCCAGAGAGCTCTACAGGGTGATTACAAAGATGTTGTAAATATGAAAGAAAGCAGTAGACAGAGACTGGAAGCCTTGAGAGAAGCTGCAATTAAGGTTAGTTCTCCCACGTTTATTACTAGAGTATTAATATTGTGATTTTAATTTTATTATGGCATGGTTTCAATCTGTTTTAATAAAAATGGATCTACATGAAACTCGCAATGTTTTACTGTTTAAAATGGATTTTGAATTAAGTATTCTCATTAATAAAATTAGAAGTGATTCTGGTGTAGAGCTTAAAACTTACTAGCAGTCAATAGTTCTTATTTCAAAACAAAGCTAAGCATAATCACAAGACCTATGGCAAATATTACGCTAAAGGGAAAGGAATACAATAAGTGAGTCAGTGCATATAGCACAGCTGCACTAGATAAGTCAGTGGGATTATCAGAATTGAAATAATGCAGTAAATTGGCAAAATACTAACTGTTTTTTCCACTTCAAATGGGAATTGCTCAACCAAAATTTACAATTTAAACAGAATGACTTCTTGCCTTTTATTTCCATATTTGTATAGATGTGGGTAAAATGGACATGCAAAATATGAGATTACTATATTTTTTTATTTCAGTATAGTACTCCTAGCCTAAGAAGTGCAGGTTTGAAAAACAGTACTTCCAAGAAAGAGAAATCTGAGATAACTTTACCAAGAAAAGCACAGATGAGTAACAGATGAGCACAAATACTTCATGCAAAGTTTGAGTTCCCATGTCAATGTACACACCCATGTTAGGTCCCTAACAGACCTGTTAGGGTGTGTACAATCTGCTACTGCCTACTGGACTTGTTAGTGCTCAGACTGCGTACTGAAAGTCTTCTCTTGAGAGAAAACATTGTTTAATTGGATTGGTATTTAAATTGCTCTTTTTCCTTGCTCTACCCCTCAACCACTGGAGGAATATATTAAGAATTTTCTTTGTTTTCTGTCTCCTAAAAGAAGAGGATGCCCTTGTGCAAGGGAGCAAGAGAAGTTAAAAAAATATGGAATTGGGATATAGCATCTGAGCTCGGAGAATCTCTGCAGGGCATTTTTGTTAGAGATGTGCAGGTCTTAACTGGTGAAAACGGCAAGAGATTGTGTGCAAGAAAGGTGTGCAGTGAATTGTGGAAAGAAAGGCTGGTGGAAGTAGAGTTAGGATGCAGGCTTGGAAGACTGGAGTGTCTGTGCAGTGAAAACAGACCGAATTATGGCAGATTTGGATAGGGAGTAGCTTGGATCTAGGATCTATGACTTTGATATTGGTGATTAATGGTAGTGTCAGCCTCTGCTGCATAGGAATGGTAGCAATGGTCATGAAAATTACTTGATTTTTAACCTTCTTTTCCCCAGAGCTCTTAAAATAGCAGCAGTGAAGCTGTCCAGCATCTTCTTTCTCATTTACCTAATTCTTGGCAATGTTAGTTTAAAATACTGAAGTAATCTATTCTTGAACCTGAGAATGGTGCTTCCTCATTTTTCTCATAAAAGGAGGCCTGTGTATATAATGATGTGTTTTAGATGTGTGTCCTGTCAAAACTTTACTCCTGCAGAGGTGGATTGTGTAGGCGCTTTTTTTTTTGTATTATCAAATCAAGATATTTACTTGGTTGAGCAATCTTTTACACCCTTCCTTCTTGCACATGATTATTTAAACAGAATATTTGTTGTTCTAACCTTGCAATCGTTACATAAAGTGAAACAAAGGATAGTGGGAAAATGCATGCCAAAAAGATGAAAATTACATGGGATACATTTTTTGGACTTGTTCATACTTAGAAGGCGCCAATTAGTTCCAGTTTTGTTCCAGTTTCATTTTATTGTGATGATTACTTTGGTGTACTCACGAGACCTCCTTTTCAGTTTTTAAACAGTGATAGAAGGAAAAACACAAATGACTGCAGAGGGTGCTTGACTCTTCCCTTCATTTTATTTATTTTTGTTGAGTTGAAGTATTTGGAAGTCTTTAGTGTTGGAATATATATGCGAGTCTGATGCGTTCCTTGCTGGTACTGCTGCTGGGAAAAGGTATAGCAGAATCATTCACAGTGGGAGAGGGGAGGAAGGAAGAAGCGCCGAAGATAGCTTCTGCCTTCCTTTGCTCTAGGAACCTGGGTGGAGGTTCAGGAAAAAGCAACAAAATCTTACCTACTTTTTATCAGCTTCTAATTTCTATCCCTGTTTAAACAGTAGAGAGCAACAACAACACTGCGTTCTTAACCAGCATTGCCCCAAAGTCTTGCTTAATCTTACTTCATTTCGCTCATGTGTTTCTCTGTGTTACAGTCTCCTGTTTAGTGCACAATCCTTATCTGTATTATCTTGCTTAAAAGATTGTTTGGTATGTACCTTGTGATCAGATGTCTTCAATCCCAGCATGAGTTGTGGAACGGTATTTGTACTGTGATGCATTTCTGCTTAACACGTAACAGGCTCTTTGAGATAGCTTCTCCTTTTCATGGACACCATTCTCTTGTGATTGCCCCACTCTACTGCCTTGACACTGGCCTGTCTGTAGGCAAAAACAGAGATGCCACTACAAGAGACTACAAAAACCTTTGTCTCCATTAATTAAAGGAACTTACAGTTAAGCTCGGTTCTTTCAAAGCTCTTCTACCTTGCTATTCAGAGAAAGTTAACTTCTTGTAAATTAGAGCCTTATTTATTTTTCTGAAGCTTATCTCTGACTCAGTTCAGCCAGTTTGTCTCAGTTGACAGAAAGGACTGATCAACTCCCTCCACCCAAAACCTGTTCCATTTTTCAGGGGAAAGAATCTAACACTTATCAATTCCATCTCGTGTTCCAAGTTGTTGCTGTCTGAGGAAAGAATCTGCAGCTCATACGGTTTATGTTTTATACATCTCTCCAGCAATGTCTGCTAGCAGAGAACAACAGATAGGAAATATTTTTGCTTGGGGCTGTATGAGAGTGACTGTGTCTCTTGCTTATGTGTTGCATAAGAAGTAAAGCAGTTGACATTGGGCCAAGCACATTAATAGTTACATTTTTCCCAACTCCAGTTATTTTGGGATCTGGGTAATTTTCATCATGCTGGTGTAACTATGGTAATTCTAAACACCAACAGCCAAGAGCCAGAAATTCTGTGGTTTCATCACAAACAGAAGTATTCATCTGGCTGTCAGGATTTTAAAAGGGTTAAGATACAGTTACAGGCTGTACTGAACGTACTCTTGTCTTGGTGTCGGGGCATTGATTAAATTGTATGCATGTTCTTTCAGGTTTCAAGGGGAAAAATGTCCATCTGCAAATGTGTGGGGCAGGGGACACTCCAGTTATTTAAACGTAGGAGTTTAGTATCATTTTAGATGCCCAGGTTATCTAAGATACCTGCGTGGGGTAGGCAGATAGAACAACCTAAGGGAGACCTATGCTCTGTCTGATTTCTAACTGGGTATGGCAGGGCATCTAAAAAGGAGACAGAAACTTGTGTTTTCTGGGAATTCAGTCTGACCTAGAGATTGCTTGGATTTTTTGCCTGATCTGTGTTTTCCCTTGGTAATAATATTGTCTCTCTTAAAGAACAGATGTAGGGTCTCTCTCCTCTAAATATTCTCAACATCTTGAATCTAACTGAAAGGAAGCAGCTCGCCATTGTGGATGCTTCCTCATTCATAGTTGTTCTCTATCTCAACCAGTGCATCTTTAAGAGGATGTAGGCATGCAAAGTGAAGTATCTTACCTTTTTTTCCAAAAAAACTCAAATTATACTCTGTCAATACACAAAGTATTATGGTTGGTCATTGTCTTGGTTACCATGTAGAAGGGGCAGTGTTAAGTCTAGTCTTCATCAGCAAATAAAACTGTTTTAATTCTCTTTTTTTGAACCTGAAACAGCCAGAGAGAAACAAAACATAACTTAATTAGGGAAGCTACTGAAATATTTCTGCATCATATCAAACCACGTGAGCATTTTTTCTCTTCTTACTTCTGAAGCCTAGAAATGGATTTCAGAAGCCATTAGTGCAAGCTCATAAGAGGCGCAAACTGAAAAGATTGACAAAGTCAAGAATTTTACTTCTCATAAGAAAAATGCTCCTTGGGAAACATAAACAGGAACCTCAGCTAGGATGCTTGACTGCTCCTCCCAACTGCTTTTGGGGTTTTTTTTGTAGCTGTTTCCACAGTTACTGTAATTTTTGAAAACCATAAACAGACCTTTTCCCATGTTTATAAAATGGCTTAAAATTAAGATTCATTGTGTTTTCCTTCCAGTTTGTTTGTTTGTGGTAGCTAGTAAAGCTATGCTTTCATGGTTAATATGCTTCCCTGCTAATCCACTGAGCCCTAAACTTTACTTGGCTCTGAAATGTTTCCTAGAGTTCCTCAAAGTAATTCCTTTCTCGTATTTTCTGGGTCATAACTTTGGGGCAGCTCTACTGTTTAATGGATTAGAAAAGGTGATTGATGGGTATTTTGTTCGGTGGCTGTTTTTCATATCTACTTCCCCAATCAAAATTGACACAAGAGAAAGCTATCTTCAAATAACATTAAAAAGTCTATATTGTTTTTGCAATTCCACTCATAAGGTGTTTTGTGTCAAAAGCAGTGTACATTTATGTCAAGTGTTTTCCTACTCAAAGGCCTGGCCAGCACTTTTATCTGTGTGTTGTAAAATTCAACAGGAAGAAATGGAATACGTCGAACTCTTAGCAGCAGAAAAACATCAGGTTGAAGCCCTTAAGAACATGCAGCATCAAAACAAAAGCCTGTCCATGCTTGATGAAATTCTAGAAGATGTCAGGAAAGCAGCTGATAGATTGGAAGAGGAAATAGAAGAGCATGCCTTTGATGACAACAAATCTGTAAGTGAAGTTTTAGGCTCAGTCTTTTCATTAGTGTCTATTTATTTTTTGGTTTGGTATTTGTATTGTAGGGGTGTTTCTCTTGTGTTAAATAGTTGTTAGGATTTTAGTGACCATTCTAAAAATAATAAAAAAAAAACAATCCCCAAAAACCCAAAACTTGTGGCTCTACATTTAATTTTGCTTCCCTTTCAACAGTAAACAGGAATACTACTTACCCGTTTTTGCTAGTGACTTCTGTGGTTTTTTCAGATCTGAAAGTTCTCCTTGCAACTGCCACTTTGACAGTGACAAGTGTAGTCCATCTCACTGATACAGCCCATGTGAGTTATGACATCTCAGTGCTGGTGGTGGGGACTGTGATATTTAGACTTTGCAGGATATGGAGTTACCAAGTTAAGTGTAGTCTCCACTTTTTCTCTTTCACTTTATTGAGAAAGTTATGGGAGAACAAGAATCATTGGAGTTGGTTTTCAGAGTCTGGGAAAAAGATATATTGTTCAAGGTAAATAAATGAAATGTGTTTGTGGTGTTGCTTTTTTCCACTTCTGACTTCCTCTGCTTTTTGTACCTTGGCCTGTTTGCGTTGTTTGTTGTTTTTGCCTTGCGTGATGGACAGTATCCCTCAGGTGAGGCCGTGTGTATTTGGAGCTGGGAGTACATCAGCTTATTCTAGCGTCCCGTTGTGCCATCCTCAGAGACTGACTCTCTAAATTGGTCCTGTTTGCATAAACATGGGTTGCAATTTTATTTGTCTTTTGCTCTTGAAAGGTTTTTGTTGATTTGCAGGTTGACTTGCGAGGTGAACATAGCTCTTGAATTCTGCTGAAGAGGAAAAACAGTTGCTCTGTAGTAGAAAGCCAGACTATTCTTTGTAACTGTACTTGTGTTGAGTGAAAGTGAAAGCAACTTTTTATTTTGTGTACACCAGACCCCAGCAATTGTACCTAGGGGGAATCCTACCTAGCAGGACCAAGAGCTGGAAGGGATGAGCTAACTGGAGTGCCCTCTTCTGTTCCACTGGGGTATAACGGCACGTTTTAGAGAGACCAGGAATGAGGTTTCTGCTGCTACACCTGCTGGCAAAATGTCAACGCATCCTTTTTTCGCCAGTGTATCTCCTTGATTTTCTGCTTGTATCTCTATTCATGAAAGAAAAGAAATTATGCAGTGCAACCTGGAAGACTGTTGACATCTCCATCTTTGCAAGAGACATCTAGTGTGTTTTTTTTCTTAAGCTAAAACACTGGAACATTGGAACAAAGAAGGTCCAATAGAATCAGTATTCTGAATGAATGAATGAATCCATCAGTAATTTGATAAAGATACAACAGCTTCTATTAAGATATAGTCAAATAGAGAAGTGTAGTAGGTAAAAATGGGGGGGAAAGAATCTGAGCTAAACCACTTAATGCAAGACAAGAGCATTTGTGCACTGTTCTGTTACATAAAACCTGCTTTCAGGAATTGCTGTTTTAGGAAATAAAATCCTGAAAATAACTGTTTTCTCTCATGTTCTCAAATTTATTATTATTTAAAAGCTCATCTGAACCTGTGCCATCCACTCTTGCTCTTCTAGCATAGTCTGTCTTTTGTCAGTTCCCTTTTCTTTTGCAAAAGGAAAAATGCACCATAATATCCACATAATGTATGATTTTTATCTATAATACGCAGAAAAAAACCTGTTTTGGTATACCTGGAGTAGCAATGAGGGTGTGGAAGAGGAGGTCAGGAGCAAAGACGACATAAAAACAGTAGGATTGGGCACTTATTGTGTATTCTGATTAGAAACAGTTCTTCATGTTTGCTGACTGTAGGGAAGCCTCTCTTCTTTGCTCCCATACTGTGAGAATAGTTTGCATGTACGTAGCGTGCAGCAGTTCCTGCTTTCTCCCATTAGCTGAAAACATGAAAACATGGTTTGGTCTCTTAGACTTGGCAATGGACACCTCATTATGGAATGCAAAATAGCAGGGTAAGTGGGGAGCTTAAGGAAGTAAAGGCAAAATATATATAAAAAGACAGGTTTGGGGCAAAAAAGGTGTGAAAAGACAACTTTCATAATGTGTGAAAAGAAAATGGTCATCAGCCTCTTACTCCAACAGCTAAAAATGCTGGTGTTTGAGGCAGCTATTTTATGCTTCTAAATAATTCTGCAAACTTTATAATTTATTTCAAATTCCTTTTTTCCCCTCTGTCTGATTCTTAGTGACTTACAATTCCTTAGGGGCTTATCATATTGCATGATGTACAAATACAGGGAAGAAGTCATTCCACAATAAAAGTTTTTATTTAATTATGTACCCAAACAAATGTAAGGAGTGGAAGAAGGGTATAAAGATTGCAGGTTAAATGTTAAATATTGAAAACAATATTTATCTGAACAGTTTGGGGAAATGTGATGGGGAATCAGCAAAGAAAAATAGGAGTCTGTTTTATAGATGACTTCTGTGAATACATTTCTTCATTATATTGGGGAATTGTTTGGGCAAAATATGGCAATCCAGAAAAGCTGAATGTTTTGTAGTAAGTCATCAGAATGACAACAGCCTACTGTGTCTACTGGAGTCTAAAAGAAGTCACAACCTTAACTGTTTTTGAATATTGTTAAAATCTACATTATTTAAAATACAGTGAATAATGAAATCATCCTAGTGTCTTCCACTTTGTAATTAGAGGCACTGAAGACAAAGCTCGGTAGAAACAGTTCTTATCCTCTCTCCTTCAAATTTACAGGACAGTGACGTTTTCCTGACTTGGAATGCAGTAATTATTTCAGGTTTTTGTAAACTGAATATCACTTTGTAATCTCTAATTGCTTTTGTTCAAGGGAATAAACTGTTACATTTCAATCCAACCTTTTGTGTTCTAAGTTTGATAAAGCTTTAAAAAAAATATTTCCTATTAGATGCAATTGAAAATACTGAATTGGAATTGTACAGTTTTGAAACCCTGTCTCTGTATTTTTCTGATTGGAAAACTTGGCTAAAGACATCTGGAAAACCCCTCATTTTTAAAATGTAGAGGAAATTTTAGCCTTTTCAGTTATGGACATCAAGTTTTGATAAAGAGACTGAAAGACTTCTCTCAGAAGAAACTGCAGTATATTTAGTCAGCGTTGACAAATTCTGGAGTAGCTTCAAGCTCAGCAAATAGTCTTTCCCTTTTTACTGTATGCTTCATTGACACCCCCTCCTTTTTTTTATTTACTTTCTTTTTCCTACAGGTAAAAGGTGTTAACTTTGAAGCAGTTTTAAGGGTGGAAGAAGATGAAGCCAACTCCAAAATAAATGCTTCAAAAAGAGAAGTAGAGGATGACTTAGGCCTTAGTATGCTTATTGATTCCCAGAACAATCAGTATATTCTTACCAAGCCCAGAGATTCAACCATTCCTCGTGCTGATCATCATTTCATAAAGGTAGTAATTGTAGAGACATTCTTGTCGTTCGTTTTGGTGAGATGTATGCCTAGACTGCATGCCAATACTGCTTGATAGGATTGAATATAGTTTCAGCATTCTCTAAAGTTCCCCTGCGTTCATGATTCCCTCATGTACTGGTGATCCAGCCAATGTGGTCCCTACTCCTAGTATAGTTTTCACAGGACGGATTGTGATGCTGCATGAATCCTCTCTGTTTTATTTGATTTGACTTGTTGCTCCTTTGGAGCAGCATCCCTTCTCTCGGACTGCAGTGTTAAAGTAAGCTACTGCTGTGCCTGATAGGCCACTTGCATATTGTCCCTAGAGAGAATTTTCTGTTTATGTCTTGTGATGAAAAAAGGGATGCTGGAAAATATATAGACATGTTTTTACTTGTATTTGTGCTTCATGAAGAATAACTGGATTGGGATTTTTTTTTTTTTTTTAATAAAACCAAAACGGATCTGTTTCACCATTGTGTTATAATGCAAAGTGTCATTCCCCTCACAATTCCCCAGGAAACTGTCTACTTCCTATAATGCATTTAAAGTATTTAATAAATTGATCATAAGTCCCCAGAGCTACCAACTGGTTAAGGTGCATACTTCATCTGCAAAACTGCAGTGCTTGTGTAGTGCACCTACAACAAAGGGTTCAGGTTAGTTTACTGAACTTGTGTTTTCTTTTCACAGACAGTATTCTACATTTAATTTTACAGTGCTGTTTTTATCTTTTGACAGATAATAGTCTTTAACTCCATCACAAATTTGTGTGTTCTTTATATTAATGCATTTGTAAATCTTAATATATTTAGGATATTGTGACAATAGGAATGTTGTCTTTGCCATGTGGCTGGCTGTGCACAACAATAGGATTGCCAACCATGTTTGGGTATATAATCTGCGGAGTACTACTAGGACCATCAGGACTAAATAGTATCAAGGTAAGTGTGCATGTTGCTTCTTGAATGATTTCATTTGTTGAAATCTTTAAAAGTAGTTTTAAAAGAATATAGTATTGCTGACCTCAAAAGTATTGGTGGGGGGGGGAAAAAAAAAGTCCCCAAACCTGGATCTCTGCAAAATGAGGCCTTGAAATTGTATGTCTTTGAATTGCTTTGTTTTCATTTTTTTCTCCTATGTAGTCATGACATAAACAATTGTTGAAAGTGAAAGCTGAAGGTTGTTTGTTGTGGCTTTTTGTTTGTTTGTTTTCTTTTTGTTTTTAATCATGAAACATCACGTTTGAGAGCCAAATTATTTAAATGCTGTCAAATATTCAGAAACTTGCAAAAAGTCAGTGTTGGCAGTGGAGGAAGTGTTTAAAACAAGTCGTTTCCTGAGTAGCATAGCTTGGCTTCCTAGAGAGTTACTTTGCATCTCTGTAGCTCTTTCATCCATCCTACTCACCCTGGTTCTTTTGCAGTCCCCTGCCCACATTCCTGAAGCCTCTTGAACCTTTTTAGCTCCATCACGTGTGCCCTGATTACTAGCTCATGTGAAACCGTGGGCTGTGGCTGGCTAGACATTGCAGATGTTTTGATTAGCGGTCTGGTGTGCATTAACAGATTGTTTAGCCAGCAGGCAAAACAGAGCACATGTTAAGGTTGCGTGGTAATGTCCGTTAAGTTACACGTGTCTTACATTGGTGTCCACGTAACTGCTTAGAATTTACTGTCTTTGCAATCTCTGCTCTTATGTGGAATCTTGTTGAAAATAACTGTTGGGCTCAAAAGGAAGTAGAGATGAGTAGAAATTTTAGGATCTTGTCAATCTCTTATTGGAAGAGAAGGCTACAAATAGTACACTTTTAAAATTTTGTATTCTAAAATTGAGATTAAATAATACCCTTTGTGTCGTACATAAGTTCTGGGTTGAGAAAGTCTGGAAAACTTGATCACTTGGACTGAGGAACAAGTTTATAAGCCTGATACTAGAAGGAGATTCAACAGTGAGTTTCCAGAAACTTATACTGAAGAAGGTAATGTGGTCAGAACAGAGATGAAGGAGATTTCTTTAGGACAGTTTCTTAGTGAGCTGCCTGTTTCTTGTGGAGCTGCAAGTAAACGTTACTCATCTGGATAATGTTCATGTTGCCTGGGTCTCTTGTGTGTGCTCCTTTTGTCTTGTCTGTATTTCATTAAAAAGTTGAATGTTGGAGGAAATAAGGAGGCAGGCAGATTCTAATCTGGCAGGGAAGATAGTTTCCATCTCCACCTCTCTATGATTGATGATAGAACCTGTTGTCTTCTGCTCTGGACTGTAAATACATAAAAAAGAAATGTCAGGTTTTTCTGTTGTGACAAGGAAGACAACCACTTTTCTTGCTGTTGCACCCTTCTCTCTGAAGTGGAAAGGCTGGTAGGTGTACTGGTCTGAGATGGATGCATGGAGTCTATAGGATGGCAAGCAGAACAGCAACTACAGTCTAGCAGAATGATTATACCAATAGGCCAATAAAATAACTAGCCAGAAGTAAATTCTGGAATGCAAGCCTTGGGGGTTTAATAGCATATGCATAAAATGTAACCTATTTATTTTCAACAAGCAAGCAAGCTTACCTAGGTCAATGCACATGCACATTTTGGGTGACCCAGCACTATCTGACCAAATTATCTAGTAGCAGCCAGGTGATGGGAAAAATCTTTGAACCCAAAAGATGCTGAGGGAACTTCTAATGTCATATGATGAGCAAGTGAACTACCTATGGAAACATAATGACAAACAACTTGTTTTGTAAATGGACTTAGAATCTGTATTATAAGTAGACGGCTGTGCACTGATTTTGATTTTTGTTTTGTTTTGTTTTGTTTAGTCTATTGTGCAGGTGGAGACGTTAGGAGAGTTTGGTGTATTCTTCACTCTCTTTCTAGTTGGTCTGGAATTTTCTCCTGAAAGATTAAGAAAGGTATTTTTGTATAACACCTCTACATTACAGGGTTTAATTGCTCATATTCAATTTATCAGTTCTGTTTCAGATTTTTATATTGTCCCTATAATATGCTGGTGTAACTTTGTACATTTTTGATAAGACAAATATGACACTTGCTTCTTCTCTTTAACTCTTTGGAAAGAACAGAATCCATTATTTATTTGGTGTCCTAAAAAAAACCCCAACAACTTTGCTCTTCCTCTTCATTTTAGTAAAACAGTTTGATTACTAGAAAAATCTCATACAATTTCTGGCAGTCCATCTCTGCTTTATTTTAACATGCAGTTGCTGCACAGTGATGTTTGCCAGTCCTGTATACAAAAAAAATCAGCTTAAGTACAACATACTGAATTGATGATACATGCTGTACTGGCTAATAAACTGATTCTGCAAGTATGTCAGCACAACTTGGAATATTACATGATGTGGCCATCGGGATGTAGCAAAAAGGTGCAAGTTTCTTTTGGTCTTAATTTATAAAAAAAAAAGCTATCTCATAAACAAGCTAGACTTTTAATAGTGGAAAATATGTCTGCAAAATATGTAAGGACTGTACGTATGAAAAGAGTTGCAGTGTGTGATTTGTTCCTAAACTGATGGTTTTAAGTTCATGAGACTACAAAAGCTTTAACAGAAATGTGTTAAAATTCATGACCATTCAGCTTAATCTGTTATTTCTAGTCCATCTAAAGTCAAAGCTAAAAATCAGTAACTCAATGATTCCTAAACTGTAGTATGTAAATTGTTACATCAGACTTGTGTGCATACTAGTGTGGAGTGGGCTGCTGGTATTAATGATGGCCTTTGCCACTCCCATTTTTCCCACCCTGGCATCACATCGAGTAACAGGTCTTCCATTTGATGATTTTAATATATTTCAACCCATACTGGACCTTTGGCCCTTAATTTCTGTTGCTCTGGGAAGCTTACCGAATTCCTGGTAATGAGCCTTCTGGCATAGAATATTATCTACTAGGCATAATAACTTCAGAGTTTTTAGTATGTATAGGATGACAGCACATTATTTCTGTGGCCCAGCACTGCAGCCCCAAATCATGCATCTTTAACTGCTTATTTGTGCCGAAAGACATTGTAACTTATTAGTGAGAAAAGTGTCATTAGACTTTATCATAAGAACTTGTTTTCTTTCCAAGGTATGGAAAATATCTTTGCAAGGACCCTGTTACATGACGGTTCTGATGATTGCCTTTGGTTTACTGTGGGGACACTTGCTCCAAATTAGACCAACACAAAGTGTCTTCATTTCCACTTGTTTATCTTTATCAAGCACGCCATTGGTGTCAAGATTCCTTGCAGGTAGTGTTCGAGGAGATAAAGAAGGTAAGTATGATTTAAAATATGGACTACTGCAGTATCTACAATAAAATTTGAAAGAAGTTGACCATGTAATATTATAAGAAAAGCTAGTTAAAAAAGCAAACCAAAACAAAAACCACTATTAGGTCTGGTTTACAAGCGAACATCCTCCTTTAACACTGGCCAGTGTTGTGCATATTCTTGTCATGAGGTCTGCCTGCTATTTACTAGCCAGTCCTCTTTCTCCAAAGACAGCGTAGCTGAATCGGTACTCTCCATGTTAAGAATTGACTTTACTGAGGGTCTGGAATCCTTGTGCTTTTTGAGAGGTTTCCAGGTTAGACCAGTCTGTCATCAGGGCAGAAAGACTAACTTACATAATTCACATCCCTATCCAGCAAACTGAGACCAGCTCAGGTAGCCTTTCATAGCTACCAGCTCTTCAAATAGGTACCTTCAAGTGCTGCATTGCTAGCTTCTCAAAGACTTCTAAATGTTTCCTTTCAAAAGTTTTGCCATACTGCTTGCTTCCATTTAAACCTTCCTCACACATGCTGCATTAAAGTTCTTCCCACCCCCTGGAATATTCATATTCTAATGCCTAAATTCAGAGTGTGTATTTTACACATGCTGGCTCTTACATGTGTCAGTTATTTTAAAAACTGTATGTTTTCAGTAAAGGAGTTCCAGTAAATGCGTAACTAGTGCTTAACTGCTAAGCAAAGTCTGTTACACAATAAAAATACAGAAGTTACATATGAATTTTTTTTTTTTAATTTACTTGTGTTGGAATAAAAATAACCACCACCAGAATGCTTTGAATAACCTCATTCCATTGATAACTATACTTGGCCTCCATTTGATTAAGACATTTCTAGATTACTGAGCACTGCAAGCGTTCATAGATTCTGATGAATGTTTCCATGACTGCTTTGTTGGTGTACAGGGGATATTGACTACAGTAGCGTACTACTTGGCATGTTGGTGATGCAGGATGTGCAGCTTGGTTTATTTATAGCTGTCATGCCTACACTTATTCAAGCAGGAGTGAGCACATATTCCAGGTAAAAAAAATTGTCATATGTATCTTCCCCTCACCCCCTTCCAATTAGTATGTAGATTGCAAATATGAATATGAGAGCGCTACAGTTAATGTCAGTTCTGTGAAAAATATGCTCTCCGTTCTGTGAGTTCTCTCTACTATTTGTACTTGTCATGTTGTATGAGAATATTCTTTCTGCTCTAGCTGCCTTAGTCCTGTCCAGTACTTAAATTTTGTAGTGAAAAGTGAAAATAAGTTAATTTCTTCAGTTACTTTATTCCCTCAAGACATGTTTTTGTCAAAGACCATGAGATAGGATTATTGAGCCTGGTGGCTTACCTTGAAGATCAGTCAACAAAAATCTTTTTGAGTCAACATCGAAGTAAATTCTAGGCTGTAAAAGAGATTGCTGGGCACACAACAGGTTTAGTATTAATCTTGTTTATTAATGTGTTTAAGTATCTTACTATAGCTACTCAGTTTTGAACATCTGTGGAATTAGGCCTTTTCACTTAAGGGGAACTGGTTGGGAGGCATGAGAGCACTTGAAAGAAATGTTTTGTTTGTTCTTCTCTTCCAGCATTTTCAAGGAAATACTGAGAATACTGATACTGATTGGCCAAATTCTGTTTTCTCTGGCTGCTGTTTTTCTTATATGTCTTGTTATAAAGACTTATCTCATAGGACCGTATTATCGCAAGTTGCATGCAGAAAGCAAAGGGAATAAAGAAATCCTCATTCTAGGAATAACTGCATTCATCTTCCTTATGTTAACGGTAATCCTTTAAATTAATAAAACATTTTGATACATGTGGTAGTTTACTGCATCAGTATCACAAAAGCCATTGCCCTTTCTATTATTGTATATCCATGTACCTCTGTAACATTTTAAAACCAAGTAATTAACTTAAAAAAAACCACCACCAAAACAACAAATGCACAGATGATTCATGCATTACAGCATAGATGAGTAAGAAGAGAAAAATTTGAATGTCAATCACCTGAACTTCTGCTGGTAACTTTTACTACAGCCAGCTAAAAAATGATGACTCCAGTTTTAATTTTGGGCTACTTCATGCATTTGAAAATAATTTAGGATGGGTTTTGAGATACTGATAATGGCTGATTGCGACATTTGCTCACAAGTTTCTCTTCAATAGCAAATTCTCAACAGGGTTTTTATTATAGAATACTTTCCTTTTTCTGTGGGAGATAAACAGTTTGGGATGAAGTTGAGAAAGTAGAGAAATTACTTAAGGTTCATAGGTTTTTATATCCCTTTTGGGTTTGGTTCATTTTCCTCTGAATCTTCCTTCTATTTGTTTCTATTTCATGTTTCAGCCTTCTGAAAAGCTATTCTGCTGGAGAACAGAATGTGACAGTCGCTGATAATGTTGTGGGTTTGAAACTCCATTATCCTGGATGTGCAGATTGTTATGTCCGCTGAGAATTTCTGAGAAAAATGATCCCAAAAAGTGCCTGTGCCTTTTTTTCTAGGGGTGTTTGCTTAATTATTACAGGTCCAAAGGAGAAAGCTGACCTCCTTCAGGAAGAATGTCAAGAAAGAAGTTAGTGAGAGCATAACTTTACAATTTGTTGATTTCTATTGTATAGGTTAAAAATGCCATCCCTCTAAACATGGAATGCCACTTAATAAGAGAAAGAACAAAACTAGTTTCTCCTTTTTACTTTCTAACAAGCAGACATAACATTTGTAGAACGACTTCAATAGAAAACAACAAGAAGACCACAAAAGTTGCACAAAATATTATGGTGTTTAGAAAGTGTCTTGCTTTCGGTAAAAATATGGCCTACATAGGCTGATCTGATTGAATTGGGCATGTCATGCCCAAATCACGTATCAGATGTACTGGGAGTTTGACTACGTGACTTTACGTAATATATGCGTCCGTACAAACCTGAGGGAGAATATGTTTGAGTGTGGTGGATTCATACTTCAAAAACAGAATGCTGCTTCAGCCTGGGAAGCGTTTGTGAAGGAGCAAATATTTTGTGTACTTTAAGTGAAAGTAATTTTGCGCTCAGAGTTGATAAATAATGTATCAAAGGGAGCAGTACAAAGGATTCTGCATGTAAACTCGGAAAACCAGTTCAGATGCTTGATATTCACTGACACTGATACAGTCATTAAGTCAAGCATAGAATCATAGAATGGTTTGAGTTGGAAGGGATCTTTAAAGGTCATCTAGACCCCACTCCCCACCCCCCCTGCAGTGATCAGGGACATCTTCAACTAGATCATGTTCCTCAGAGCCCTGTCCAATAGTAATACTTGTAATAGTAATACTATAAGTTATCGTTTGAATGCCAAGACTTAAAAAACAATAATTAAAAAAAACAAAGTAAGAAAGTATTTGGTTGGTCAGTTGAACAGTTCAACAAACAACTCTTCTGGAAAACAAATCTTAATTGGTATAGATGCCCTATTAAGTCAGAAATCAAAACATAGGATGGAGGGTGGCAATCTAATTTGAAAAAATATTGCATGTATGTGGAAAGGATAAATTAAGGTTTTTTGGTGCCAGGTAGGAAAACAATTAAACTGTCACTATTCCTGCAAAGATCTTTCTCCTTTGAAAACAAATCCTAAATATTGATGAATTTTTTATAATTGTCTGCAAACATGGAATTTTCCATACTGGTGTAATTAAAAAAAAAAAAAAAAAAGGCTTTTGAATTTCTAGAGTGAGGAATAAGAGTGTGCATACTTCAGTGGCCTTAACCAGAGATGACTCTCTGTGGCTCCATTTAGAAAACTTGAGAGATGTTTTGAAACAAAATATTTTAACTGTCTAGCATGTGCGTTATTCTGCAGGCCACATCCTTTCCAATACATGACAAGGGGTAGGAATGATACTGTATTCCTACTTTGTGCATACAGTTACTTGTTATGTGCCTTCAGCATTGACTGGATTACTGAGGTCCACCTAAATTTATGCTTTGTTGGGGTTCATCTGTAATACTAGCACGTGTAATGCACATTTATATATAAGTTTTTTTACTTGTTTCCTGTGTTTGAAAATCTCAGATGACTAATTAAACAAGAATTGCTATTTCTCTACCAATAACAAATACTATATGGGAGAACAAGAGGGAGGATAGGACAGAAGAGGTTCCTATACTGCAGCATGAGTAAGAAAGTTGTAAGAAAGATGTAAGAATTATCCTGTCAGGTGAGGAACTTTTTGTACATGAGTGACTGTTGAGCATTTCTGAACTGCTTGGCTCACGTGGATAATATTGCAACACATTAAATCTGAAACAGGATCTTAAATATATCTCTTCTTGATAAACTAAATTAGAGTAAAAGAGATGCAACCAATCTCAGATATGAGATACTTATTTTACCAAGGTTTGGAGCTTGAGTCCTCTTTCTGTTCCCAGATATTCTCAGAAGTAACTGAAATTCTCCCTCCCTTTCCCGCCCCCCCAACTAAGTTAGGCAGATTGGGGTGGGGTGGGGGATTGTGTCAAGTGCCAATCCTATAAAAGTCTATCTGACTTTGAGACACAGTTGTGCGTCTTTTCAATCATGTAACTTGTCATCAGTAACAAAGGTTCAGTAGAACATTGTAGCACCTTCAGCAGCTCCTTTTCAAGCTTTGAGTTATGTAGATACTGCTTTTTTTTTTTTTAGATTGAGAAACTGTTCTCCTGATTTGCAACATTAAAAACAAATTAGCTTATGGTTTTAAATATGACCATTTAGGATCGATGGCCAAACTTTAGGTTGAGATATATGCCACAATGAGCTGAACAACATGTTATAATTCAGCCAGAGTGTTCACTGATGTAGTGTGGCTTTTTTTCATGTATGTATGTACAGAAACATTACAAGGAAAATTGTTTTAAACACTATCCTGATAATGAATTGCTGTATTAGCTATCTGCAGAGCAACAGTGGTCAGTTTTGCTACGTTTTAAATCCAAACTGCTGAATGGTACTAAGGAATTGAGGAAAAAATAAAACCTGACCTGACAAGAAGGATAGCAATTACATTTACATGTTTATAGGACTCTGCACACAGATTTTGGGGGGGGTGTGTATGTGGCATCCAGTTTGACTGTATTATGGCTGACCTGGGGTCATGGCAGCAAATGGAGGGAAATTGCCAGCTTGCTTTGCATACCAAAAAGATGAAAAGAAAATATAGCTATGTTATTGCAGTACTTTATATATGAAAATGTACATACTTTGTCCTGCAGTGTATTAGGAATGTAATTTCTTGTTTGTCTGGAGTCCTTCTCAATGGCTCGTAACCGCTTATGAACTCCTTTTTTATTAATTAAAAGGAGAAGATTAAGGAAGAACTGTAATCTCAAATATTCTAGTTAATAATTTAATAAAATACAGTTGAGAGAGAGTTTTTATGAGGCTCACTAAATATTGTTTCCATTTCCAGCAAGGCCTTCCTTAAAATGCAAGCTTAGAATTCATGTCTTTACTTTTGGGCAGATTTAAGTTATTAAAGCCTCAAATTCTAATACATTTATTTCCATCAGGGATTTCTTTATTTTACTGGCTTAGTCTATTCATTAAGCTCCCGTGATGATTAAAGAGTAGCAATATGACACACGTAATTAGAAAATATAGGCAAAACAACTGCTGAACAAATGGTTGAAATTCAGCCGAAACATGTTATAGCAGTAATGTTTATTTCTTTTATTTATTGCTATGGTAGAACATTTGAACATAAAAATCCAAAATTCTAGTGACAGCAAGGCAATCCTCTCTGATTTAGAGTAAAATGGGACCTTTGAAAAAACTGAGAACTAAATTGTACTGGGAAAAAAGTGTAAGTTGACAAAACATTTCATTTAATTTTGACTGAAAAAGGCTTCTGTAACGTAGGCATTGAGAAAAGGACAGTGCAGAGCCCAGGTATTAGTAATTGTTAAGAGTCCTGTTTGGTGAAGGCAAAACATTCAAAATTATGCAGGCAGGGAAGGAATACTAAATGCAAAATACTTTCCAAGTTTTGCTTATATAAGAAATTTTGCTGAGAACGCCTTCCTGCTAGTAAAACAAATCCTCTCCAGTGTGTGTGTGCACGCATGCACACACGTTACATATAATAAACCCTGATGCTACAGCTTTAATTGAGGAAATGTATCCACTTGTTGGTAATATTACTGGACAACCAGGGTCCAGGATGGGAATAGTAAAAGGTGTCTGTATAAAAATCTAGATATAAATCTGAAGAACAGACTGGAGGAGGGGAGGTGGGGTTAGGAAAATAATGTAATTTCTGGTTCTTTTCTTGCTCTCTCATCCACTGCACACTTTTCTGTGTGTAAAGTGACCTATAGATTTGGTAGTCCTGAAGTTGTGTAGTATGTAGAGAGTAGACAAGCAATGGCAAAAGTTGCCTTTATACCTACCAGGTCCTTGAGCTGACACTTAGCTTGCCATAGACTTAAGGAATGGAGTCCAGTTTTTATGCGGTGGGATCAAACCCAGATGGACATACAGTTTGCTCCAGTTATGTCTGAGGCTTTCTGAAGAAGCACGTTTCTTTCACACTTCTGTTGCTCTTTGCTTGAATAGTGATTCCCATAACAGCCCAATATCATGCAGTTCTACAGAATCATTAAGGTTGGAAAAAACCTTTAAGATCAACAAGTCCAATACAAGAGATGCTAAATCCCTTCTTACATGGTAACCTAACCATGTATGTGGGAATACTTAAAATATTAGCTATAAAAGTTTTGATGTGGAGCTCTGTTACAGCTGATAACACTTAAGGGTGGGGGGATTATATCTGAATAGTAAAAATAATTCCAACTTTATTGGAAGAGGCTATATTGGATCTTAATCATACTCAAGAGGTTGTGATTTTTAAAACAACTAATATATGATTGAGAAGAACTTAAATGTTTCCTATTCATAACTGTTTCCTTTGTTGTTTTCATCTTTTTGTGATTTTAAAGCCTTTTATATACATTTCCTTCTTCCCTTTTACAATTTCAAATTGTGGTGAAAAGCACTGAAATTCCTTTTTGTTTTAAAATGAGGGTAACATTATAATGTTACTTTGTTGGTTTTGCCTGACCAGCAACTATTTGCATTCGTTGACAGAACTAATTAATTTTCTTAAATGTTTTGCAATGAACTGTGGACTGTTAGCGCAAATGGAGTTATGTGATGAGCATTCAGACATTAATACTTCAATACACAAAAGTCTGGAGTTTATTTTTAGGCGGTCTTTTATGCATAGCTTGGAGACTTGTTTATTGTGTCTTTTGCTCTCCTCCATTAACTTCAAGTCACTTGAGTTTTAGCTTGATACCTTACAGTGTAACACCATTCAAGATATGATGAATGTTGTCCATAAATGTACCACGGTGTATTGTTGCTTAATCTAAATTAGTATGGAAATAAGTCTTCATTTTTAAATGTTCTATTAATATTAATAGCATTGCCCTTTCTCAGTAAGACGGTAGTCTGCAGCAGCATGGTTTTAAAGTAATTCTTTCAAAATATACTTTATACCAACTGAAAGTGCTGCTTGCTTTTTTTTAATGTTCCGAGCATCGCCTTAAGCAGTTTCTTTGTTTTTAGTTCAGTCTCTTTACATGTGTTTCATCTCCTCCTTCTAGTACTGTATTCAAATAATAAAAAAGAATGAAGAGCAGTCTGAGTTCTTTCAAACAGATAGTTGTGCTTCATTTCAGCAGTTTATTTCATATACTTAAATGCATCTCTATTCAGTAAAGCACAGAGACACGTTTAAGGCCAATTTACAATAATAAAACATAATTTATGCCTGGGACTTCTACTAAATTGAGACTGTTCTTCCAAATTATAAGCTTTGATTTTTATCTTTACCCCTTGTTTGACAGCTGGAAAATACGCTGTTCTTACTGCTTTATTTCACAGCCTCAATGTATTATGCAATCCTGACTCCAAAGCTGTTACAGTCTTTCTCGTTTTTGTGAAATCAGATGCTATCCTTAAGAGCGACACAAAGCATTACAATGTAGATTAAGACATTTATTTTTGTTCTCGTGGGGATGGAGGTAACATGGAGGGGAAACTGGTTTTTGAGTCTTTTGTATAAATCCAATACTGCAGAACACTGAAATAAACATGCTGAATTCTACGTGTTGTTGAACTTGCATAAAGACATAGTAATTTACTGCATTCAGTATAATGTACAGTTTTATAATTTCACTGTGAAATGGTATATAAAGTCGCTCAGGGCTAGAGAACAGCAATAGATTTTTTGTTATTCCTTGACAGATCACAGAGCTGTTGGATGTTTCAATGGAGCTGGGATGCTTCTTAGCTGGAGCTCTGATCTCTTCGCAGGGTCACATGGTTACTGAGGAGATTATGTCCTGTGTTGAACCAATACGTGACTTTCTTGCCATCATTTTCTTTGCATCCATAGGTAACTTCTAAGAAAACTTACTTAAAAAATAGTGTTAACCTACAAATGGGTGGGGGAAGAGGAAAAAAAACCAAACCAAAAACGTGTTTAAGTTGCAGGGGGGAGAAGATAGATATTATTTTGTTAAAATACTAAACTGTTAACTGACCACAACATTGATTTGCCTTTGCTAATATTTTTAAACGTGACATTCATTTGCATAAGCAATTTCCATGTTTTAGTCTCAATTCTTGTTTTAATGTCAGTTTTTCATTGTTAATTCTGAATGCATGCTATTTAAAACATGTAAGTAAAAATTTTAGGGGAAAAAGGTTTTTGTTTGGGTGAGAGGTGTTTTGGTTTTTTAATGCTCTTCTGTCTTCACAATGGATATATTTGTAATTTATACTAAAATTGTATTGCTATTTTGAGTCAGTTGCTGGAGTAGCTTTCAGTTCTTGTGGCTTGGTGTTCTCTAGAGCATGATATGATAATGGAACAGATCTTTTTGTATAGCATCTTCTTTCTTTAGTTAGGAAAATGTGATCTGTGTGTTCTCAACGCACGGGAAAAATAATTGACCAAGATGTATCTTGGAGACTACCTGAATGCCAACTGAAATGCAGTATTAATGCCTAAGACTAGGAGAGTAACTCATCATGAGAAGAAGTAGTTAACTCTTGAGAATATTTACACTCAACTGGTAGCTTCATTTTGAACCGCTACATTCTCTAGCTGCCCATGCATGCCCCAGTGCGCTTTCTCGCAAGGAACTGAAACACATTACTGGAGTGCTTAGGTACAGTGAATGAGGAGACAGGTGCTGTGAAAGCACGTGCCTCTCCCTGTAGATTGCATAGGAGATGTATGTCCTATTTTGGGGGCACTGCAAGGTCTAAAATAGAGGGTTTGAGTGTGGCCCTTTGCACAAATCCAACCTCCTTTAAGCCATGTTTACTCAGAAATTCTTAGGGTTTGGTCTTTTGGGGGGTTTTTTGGGGTTTGTTTGTTTGTTTGTTTGTTTGTTTTGTTTTTTTCAAGACCACCCTTGGTTTTTCTTCTGGTTCTATTTTAAGTTTTCTATTGTTGTTTTTATCTCCATATACTTATTCAGATAATAGTGAAGTCCCATCATCAGCATAATTGTAATGCCTTTCCTTATATACCTGTTCGATACCCATTGTTTTGTAACAGAAACTAAATCTGTTTCTGGTCATTGTCAAAATAAAAAGGAAGTAGTTATGCTTGCCAGCCTTCATTTTTTGTTTTACCCAGCCCATGATAATAGCTTATGCTTATCAGTCGGATTGCTTAGTAATAGATAATGTTTATTTGAGTAACTTATTTTTTAATAAAGGAAGGAAAGTGATGAGCTTTGGTAAAACTCTCAGGCCTATATAACTGACAAGGTTGGATTAGTAATTGCTAAATGCTCACAGGTAAGTTGTTTATGTGTTTTAGTAAAGACGGTGATGGAGCGGTAGTGTTCTCAGGGTTACAAAGCATGACCAGTAATTACAAGCCCAAAGTTAATTTTACAAGGGATTGAACAAAAATATTGTCCTACACTCTCATGACTGCATAAATTAAGACTAGAGATAAGACTTTGCAGTATAAGAACATAGCAAGACCTCGGTTGGCATGCTGGCAGCACTCTGTATAGCCTATGTTATACTCTAAGGAAATTATTTTGGTAGTGCTGTTACAGAATTTAAAAAAGAAAAACTTTTAAACTGTTCATGTTAATAAATGTTAACCATTATAATTGCAAGAACAGAAAGAAAAGAAAATTGCCTAACAAGTTTGTATGGTTTTGTAGAAAATGTGTGTTATTCTTGCCTCAGAAGAAAGTTAGCTAAAAGTTGGAAAAATGAGCTGTGTTATAGGCCTCTGGCAAAATGTGACAATGCTTGCTTGACAAACAAAAAAAAACCCCAACACCAAAAAACCCCCACCCAAAAACAACCCGCCAAAACCCTACAAAAATCAAATACCCCCCCAAACATTACCCCCCCCTTCATTTTCAATTACTTTCAAATTCTGTGGTTAACAGGAAGTTTTGTGGAGTGGCAAGGAGGTAGGTTTTAAAAAGGAGTGATGTGATATTGCAAATTTAAACTTTTTAAAAAGAAATTTAGTAAGAAAAGACTTCTTGCTTGCTCTCTACTTATATATGTGCACAGGCAAATGATAGGTATTTACAGAGATTTAGTATGTGAAATTATGTAAAGGCCACAGGGAAAGATTCTCCTCCTCCCCCCCAGGAGAAGGCTTGCTGCTATATGCAGAAAACATCCTATTACAGAGAGCAGAAACACTTGAGATCCTGACTTTTAATTGAAAAGTGACTGTAAATATGTCATTTGCAAAAGTTAGTTCCTATTTTGCTTGTCTTAAATACCTGCTTTCCTGTTCTCACTACAGAAATCCTTCTGGTGCCTGAAAGCTGAACTGAACAGCGCTTGGTCGTGTAATATCTGTAACAGTGGTCCTGCCCTTAGCTTGACCTGTGTAATGCTACTGCTTTCAAGTTCGCGCATGGGTGCGTCAGAGGGAACAGTACACCCTTGCAGTTAGGCATTAACAGCTGCACTTTGAGTTACTCTCCATCTGTACATTCATTTAGGCCTGTGTGTATTCTTCAAGTTTTCTGGCTTTATTTATGCTATCTTCTGAGGTTAGAAAGTTCCTGTTAGTCTCTGTCCTCACTAAAATTTTTGGGAAAACATCTGGACCAATCCATTAGAGCCACATTTTGAGAACGATCTTTCTTGTTTCTGGGGTTTTTTTTTTACCTAGTACTCAGATCCTTCCCTTTCTACCTCTGCATCATTTGATTTTGTTTTTATTACTTTTTAGAAAGATGGAAGGCATCTATGCATAGACTGTTTCACTTTTTTTTTCCAAAGTCTCCAGTATCCCATATTTTGTCAGTCTACAAGTCGTATGGAGTTTGAAATTGGGCATCAGGAGCCTATTTGCCACTGGTGAGGAGGGAGGTTACTTCCACTGATTGACTAAGTTGCCAGGCGCCATGTTTCCCTTCTGGGTAAATCCTGTGGTCAGTGTTGGACCTTGAATGCGAGATGCTGAAAACCCTTTAACAGTTTGGTCATCTTCTTCAGAACATGGGTGACGCTGACACTGCCAGTACCACTGTCCAGAACAAACACACACACAATGTTTCTTTAAGCCTCTTAACATTTCTGTTCAATTTGAGAAATTAAAGGAAGACCCCAGCTGGAATTCATTAGGTGCCATACATCACTTTCTCCTTCTCCATCCACCTCTACTGCATTGTTGTCCTGCATGGAGCACAACAAAACTTGTCAGTTCTGAGATCTTGAAACCTCCATTAGGCTCAAGAGGACTTTCCCCTTTGCAGAAGGAAGGAGATGAATGTTGGTTTTCCCCTCTGCTACTTCATGATCTAGCTAGGGCTGTAACATTTATTGCATTTGCTGCAATGATCTTAGGTTCGTTAAGACTCTTAGTACATACAGCATCCCAATGCATCACTAACCTGATTTTTCAGAATGATGTCCTGTCTTGAGGATGTGTCTGAATTAATTCTACTGGCTTCAATTTGACCAACAGAGTTCTGGTTTCTGTAATCTTGTTTGCCATCAAGAATCTCCAGTATTCCTTTTCTTGATGCTGGGTTTTCCAGGATGTGGTCATGACTGCATTTGGATCTTCACATGCTGTTTAGCAGCCATCCAGCAGAATGGTGGAATCTGTCTAATTGCAGGGGGAGGGGGAATTTACCTGTTAAGAAAAAGGTACTTCTAAAAAGAGCGTGCAAAATTTTGCCTGTAATTGTCCATAGAAGAACACATAACACCTTATATGAGAACTGTGCTTTTTGGCTTGACATTGATGCAAGGTCACCTTCACGCCAGAGCCTCCATTCCAGCTATTCCAGAGCCCTGCTTAGAATTGAAGTCCAGTGGCTTACGCTCAGCTCTGTGAAAATGTGCCTAAGTGATATCCTAGCTATTGGTGACAGGCCAGCATGCCACATGCTATCTGATGATGGTGCTGAAGTTCTTGAATTATTTGACTGAAATGTTTCTTCCATTTTAGAGAACAACTCTGTAGTGACTCCTGAGCTTAGTCACAAAGTCTGATTAAAACCATTGAACTAAATGCGCTATATTCACAGAATCTCGCCGAATCGCAGAATCATTGAGGTTGGAAAGGACCTTCAAGGTCATCAAGTCCAGCCGTCAACCCAACACCACCATGCCCACTAAACTATGTCCTGAAGCGCCACATCCGTGTGTTTTTTGAATCTTCCAGAGACGGTGACTCCACCACCTCACTGGGCAGCCTGTTCCAATGCTTGACCATGCACCTTCTGTCTATGAAGTTAAACTTTCTGATGGTGTTCGTGTTGTCAGGAAGGCTTCATGTGCTTCTATAGTAGTCTGCTATGGCTTGTGGCCTTGTCCTAAGTTTGCATCTAGGGCTAGGGTCTGTAATGAGCATGAAATCCACTATGGAGGGATTTATTTCCCCCAAAACATGTCTCCCTGCTGAGTTGTTTATTGGTTTGCTCAGAATAGCGTATGTAACAGGCCTAGGCTTGCTTTACCTTGCAGACACTTACCTCCATGGGATTAGTACAGAAACCTGTAGTAGTTTGTGCCTCAGCTCTTTTGAATACAGTAATAATCTTGATGTTGGGATGATATGCAAATGAACTTCAGACTGCCTGCCTGCTCCAGAGCTGAAAAGGTAAATCCACCAGGAGTGATGACAGCACTAATCTGCGTTTATAGCCTTCCTTTGAAATCTTAGTTCCAGATGTGGCAGAGTTGGCCCTTTTATCAAACGTGACATTGTTACAGGCTCTATTTCTCTAGTTGCTTTTTCATGTGTGTTTCTGAGACCAGCCTAAAGGTGAACAAGCAATGTGCACGTGATACGCAGCAAAAAAAGAGAAGCTACTTGCCCCTCCATGTGCGTGTGTGCACACATTTGGATTTCTTGTTCTGCCACCTCTGATGGCAACAGCCAACTGTCAGCA